CTCTTACCATCAACGGAGGACCACCACACCGTCAAAGAGCTCCGCTAGCAGAAAAGCATCGTAGTGCTCACGGCCTGCAGGAAACTTCGATCGGCGCTTTGTAGCAGGCATGTGTGCAGCGAAGTGTTGTATAGCAGCGCTGTGTATAGAGACGGAGTTGCGATTGAATTGCCTGGATCTGGACACATCGCATAGCGTCGATTTGTAGCTGCTACAACTTCCATAGTGGTTAAATCCAGATCTACGTGTATAGAAAGGTGTGGCGTGGTGGTGGAGGCGCCGCATTGGTGTTGATGGTGGTGGCGTCGCGCGAAGATAGCTACAAGATTTGTGTTTACTTCATGTAGTACATGGTTAATAGTGAATGACAGTGATGTTGCGCGGTGGTAGTGGTGACATTTTTAGATCGGTCTGTAGCTACCGCGGGGCGCTGCTGATGTGACGGTGAGGTGGTGATTCTACAGGAGGTGGCTGTGGCGCATGAGGTGATGGTGTGGAGGTGATTTGAGGTGTGGTGTACTAGCGATGACGGTGGTTTTAGTGGATCGGGGTTAGGGTGGGGCACGGCGGAGACAGTAGCTATGGCAGCGATGGTGGTGGTTGAGTGGGGTTAAGGTAGGGTAGGGTAGGGTGCGGTGCGAAGTGGTGAAGTAGTTTGCGACCAATTTGAATGTTTGTGATCAATAAGTAATATGTGACTGATAAAATAGATAATTTGTGATCAATAAGTAATATGTAACCAATAAAATATGTGGCCGGTGAAAAATGTGATCGGTAATTTGTGACCTTTAAATATGTAATTGTGATTTTAATTATTTATTTAATTAAAAAAATCAGAATTACCACCTGATTTTTGAAAAGTTGAAAGAAGTTTGTTAAAATGAAATTGTATTTGGCAAAACACCTGAATTTTTCCCTTTAAAGTTTAATTATAATTAAAAACATTTGTGAAAGTCCAAGCCCAGCTCATGCAAATTTAGGCCCAATGGCAGCACAAAATATAAAGGGGAAATTAGGCCCCTTACGTTCTTTAATTGAAAAAATTGATTACTACACAACTGTACATTAATATCGTATTATATACGTTGTGCCTCTCAAAACCCAGCCTTCTCGCCAGTCGCCGCTGCCACAATTACAGCTGCCACTTCGTCAATTGCCACCGCTAGAACTATTAGACAGTGCCTAAGGTTTGCAAAATATTCCATTGTATTATATTCTAGAATTCTCTCTTTTTTGCAAAACCTTGTGAA